TCGAGATATTTCACTTTTCGTGTTACTTCAACCTTTCAAAACTTTACACATCAAGCACCCGTATCTCATCAAATATTAATTTTACTATAAATCTGATTACTCCATTGGATTTTTAAAACTTGTGTTACAATATGTTGAAAGTAATCATTTGTCCAAAAGTAATTCAATGTGAACAAAAACTCTTTAGTATAAAATTGAACTTAAGAAAATACGACAAGCTTAGATTTAACCCCGATAGATTTTACATAAGTTGTAAAATTTAAGTTTATGACGTACCTATCACAATTAAGGACGACATTATAAAAAGGATTCTGATATCTTGCGCTCTTAAGTGCGACGGGAAAGCAGGATGAACTCTTGAAAGCAGTTTAATCCGTCAGGAAACTATGTCAAGATTCTATTATTCAAGAAGGCGAACATTTTGATAACTTAATTGAATTTTTAGGTGGTTTCTATTTACTTTGTATTACTTTCATTATTTTTCACAGAAGTTTCAACAGCTTTATAACTAACTTTACTAAACAATTTAGAACGAGCAATTCATTTTTTAGCAATGAAATATTAATTTTATACTGGCCTGTGAGGAATTAAGTACATGTGTTCGATTCTCACTAGTAGGAGCAAAATTTTCTGCAAGTGCCATATCTGTCATTATTTAAACAGCGAAGAGTATCTTAGTTAAATTTCAGACAAGAATTCTGGAAGAACTGCAAAAGATTATGCTATAATTTTGTATTTTGTTTTCGGACAAATTAAAAAAAGAAAAAGAATGTAATATCAGAAGAAGGATGTTCACCAAATTTTCCATTAATGTAACCAAATTTATAGTAGAGTTATTATTATGACATACATGGGCTTTATGAGAAAAAGTTGTGGAAGTTCAATGTAACAATAAAAGCGAAATATCTTGGATTCAATTGACAATTAGAATAGGAAATTTTTAGTTTATTTGACATGCAGAATAGTCGAAGTCTGTTCATGGGACACTTTATAGTCATGAAGTATGTGGTGTTTAGTGACCGTTAGTTAATGATTATTCGGAGAGATTTAGAGGAGGTTCGGTGTGACGTAGGTTGTAGAAAAACATTTTCTTTATCGTTCCAACGTTTCGATCTTTATAGAGATCATCTTCTGGGCTCACACTGTTTGTTTTCTGTGTAATTGTGTCATTCTAGTGTGTCGTGGGCACTCTCAACACGACACACAAGAATGACACAATTACGCAGAAAACAATTACTTTGGGCCCTGAAGATGATCTGAATAAAGATCGAAACGTTGGTACGATAAAGAAAATTTTTTAAAACCCACGTCACACCAGCCCGAATCACACGATCTCTGAATAAAAATCATGAAAGTAGCATGCTGAAATACGAATATATAAAATTTATGAGTTAAATTGTTTTTACTTTTTTTATTTTTATTTTAGATTTTTAAGTCACTGTAACAAATAGTATTTGCTTAATTTCAATCCTGTTTTTTCATGAAAGTACATGTAATAAAACAAAAAAATTATCCTAATAGTAGCCGTTAATATCTAAACACAACGCAATCAACCTTGCGCCTCTTTTTTAATTTCATTGCCGCATACAATACGTATAAATAGATGTCACGTATGTAGGTTGAAAGTTTTTTAAACGAGTTAAAATGTTTTCAATTTTTTTACGTTAAGGGATATACATTATGGTGGATACCACATTGCAATATGCAAGCGTGATGTGACACCTCGTCCGTCAGGTCGCAATATACGGCCGCTATCGCCATTGGCTCATCAGTGGAGATATATCGTGCCCCATTAAGACAATATATACATACGCAATCACGTATGCCTGTAAATTTACGTTTCTATGAATGTTTGTTTAACCAAAAGAAAGAAGATTTTTAAAACTTTTCATATGGGCTGTCCCCCACAAAGTCCATAACGCAAGCTGTATGTATTATGGTAAAAAAATTTATTTCATAAGAAACAACTTTTTAAATAATTTATTATTGATCTTTAAAGCTTGAGCGTTTTATTGTTATAATTGTTTAGTACACAACTATTATAGGAACGAGAAAGTAAAATGTTTTCGAAATGAACTCTGAGATCCGAACTGAGATATTTCTCGTTCGTTCATCATTAGCCGATGGAATGTTTTAACAGAGTCGATGCCATGAGTCGGCAAGTTATTCCATTTCAAACGACATCTCCGCGAGGAGTATTTAATTGGCTCGTCGGCCATCGAGGGTTGGGTCATGGGGCAATAACGCCTTCAAAAAGGAGGCATTAAAAGTGAATTTATGCCGCAGAGACCATCGAAACGTACTTTTTTTGCCTTCCATCGTTCGCTATCCGTGTGCCTCCCTTGTGGTCCCGTTAGCGCCGGCATGAAACATTATAATGCTATAAGGACTTCCAGACAAGAGCTAATGTCCCGTGAATATTGTGCTTACGGGGGTTCATTAGCAGCCAGTCCAGTTATCTAACCGGCAGACACGCTGGAAGCCCTTCTGAATTACCACGGTCTCTAATCACAGTTAGTTTCGAGTGCCGTCCCCTACGAGGAGCAAAGTGACACATAAACATGCATATTTGCACACAAACACGCACCAGCACACAAATAGTAACAATCCATCTTTAGAATTATTTAACCAATATCGTAGTTTTAAAGTTACAGAAACGTCTATATTTCATTTGTATACAGCTTATTACAGATCAAATCTATCTATACGTATTTTGACAATTACTCAAAAAATATATAAATTTTGGATATCTATGAAAGCGTTCAGAATTGTTAGTAGTATAACCGCTAGGGAAAGCAAATAGCCGGTTAAATCGTTAAACAAATACAAATGAAACCACTTTTGTTTCGTTTACCAAACAACAACAATGAATAGAAACATTGTTGTAATTTTCATTGGAACATGTTAAATAAAACATTTCGCGACTTTCTTAAATCACTTGAGAATAAAGGGTGAGCTGGGTAGTCATTCTGCTTTGATACTAGTCTAATTCAGAGGACAGTGCTGCACAACCCACAAATTTTTTTATTTTTATATATTTCTTTAAATTCGTATAGCTATTTAATGACAAAAAATAATTTAACTTTATTTAATGTTTATTTGTAGGCAAATTATTTTTCCCCACAGTTTTAACCTTCTATTTCACTCAAATATCACTGAATTTGGTAAATTTTTCAAAAATTTCAATAGGTACAGTCTTTTACAAATTTTAACGTTTTTTAATCCTTTTAATATATTACATATTGACGAAGATTCTCAAAATATAATAATCAATTTTACTTGTCGGAAATGTTGGAATTTTTACGCCGCCTCTAGGTCTGTTTCCACTTGTTCAGCATCATTGACAATTTGACTTCGCGGTGAACATAACATCCCACTTGGCAAAACATGAAGAAAAGACGAAAGGAAATTAATTATAATTTTAATTGTGTGTTATAATTCAATTGTGGATTCTCAGCCGTACTTATCTTTCTGTAAGTAGTTTTTAAAGTAGAAAAAATGGTAAATTATTCCATTGTATAACAATGTATAAAAATTACTTCGCCATTCGCTGTGGTCCTTTTGCATTTTGAAATCATTAACAGTATACAATTCGACAGAAGAAAAACATGAATACAATTGTGTTGTGTTTAGTGACAGTTAATTAATGTTTTGTTTGGAGATTGTAAGATGTGGTCTGGTTTGACGTAGGCTTAGAAAATTTTTTTTTATTGTGCCAACGTTTCGATCTTTATTGAGATCATCTTCAGGGATCAAAGTGTTTGTTTTCTGTGTAGATGTGTCATTATCGTGCGACGTGTTGAGAGTGGGCATTCTCTACACGACACACAATAATGAAACAGTTTGAGCCCTGAAGATGATCTCAATAAAGATCGAAACGTTGGCACGATAAAGAAAATATTTTTCTAAACCTATGTTACACCAGACAGAATCTCACGCTCTCCAAATAATCATAAATACAATTATTACTAGAGTTTAATAAAATACTATTTACCTTTTTTTTATGAACATAGCCATTGCGCATTTTACGTAATATGTATGAGTTATCTATTCACTGAAATAAACCATTGATACATGTCCAAAAAAAAAAAAGAATTATATGTCATAACGCTTTGTATGTTATACATTTCAAATCACCATGTTAGCCCCATTTGTATTGCATGCAACCCATTACAATCCAACACACGCACACACATGCCAGTTATTTGTTGAATAAAACATATTTTTCTTCTCCCTTTGATTGATTAAGTGATTTCGTAGATCGTGTTGGTTTGGAATTCAGCAGCCGTAATTGAAGGAACCCATTTTCCTAACCTCAGAGGAGATTGCTTTCGGCCTGACTACAATAACACAAGTTATTGAGCTGCATGCCACTCAAGAGTATAAATGACATTTCGCCAGACTAGCGTTTTGCCGGCAAGTGGAAAAATAAATGTTAACGACGGAACGGATTTTGAAGGAGGTATTTTAGTGTAAGATCACAGACTGGCGGAAATAAATGTTGAATAAATGCAATCAAACGTCTACAACAAACCAAATAATCACACAATTCTCGTTCACTGCTAAATAACAGCAGGGTAAAAATTCGTAACACAAGTACAAATCAATCATGCTCCTTCATGCTGTAACGAGATGGGGTCGAGAAAACTTTCCCCGGCAAAGATGGGGCACCTTTCAATTCGGCAAACGAGGAACATCCATCTTGCGGGGGGAAACCGGCCAAAAGGAAAGATTTTCATTACACAAATAAAATACCCTTTACTCATCGTCGACTACTTTGAAACTACATGAAGCAAACCAAAACGGGATCACTCCGAAACTACGTCAGAAACGATGCAAAATAAAACAAAAATACAATGAAATAAAATGTTTAAAAACTGAAATCAAAACTAAAAATGATAATGACATGTGCGATAAATGAAAGTGGTTGAAGAGACGATGCAATAGTTCTGACGAGCCCATCACCGGTCAACTCTACGAAGAAACTCTTGTTTTCTTACCGGAAAAAAGATCTGGGTCCAAATAGTGGGTTCGCTGTGTCGCTGTCGAAATCTGCTCTGACCTAGGCGTTGTCCTGTAGTTCCTGGTTGTTAATGGGGCTCGCGTTGTCGTTGTAGTGACCGCTGAACAACACAATATGTTAAACCTACTTGTAGTGCCAAGAAGAATGAATAAAAAATAAAATTAACAATGACAGTGATTAATAATGAAAAATAATCGACGATCGAATGAAATTTTCAACCCGAATTGATGAACTTTTCTCAATGATGATATTACGTCAATTTCCGATTTTTAGACTAATTGTTAAAGACGTCTTGTGATGTTATCTTCCTTCTTCCCCCATATTGTCGTTCGCTCGGCAAACGGTCATTACGGTCTGTTAAAATATTTATAAACTTTTTAATATTCATTAGCAACTTCCAAGGAAATAATACGCAAAGGGAGATAATTGTGGAGGGAGGGTATAATTGTGAAAAAGGTGAATTTCCCTAATTGAATTTTAATTTCATTTCTTGGTAGCTTACAACCCCTGGCTTTCTTAAACGGCCTAAAAGGCTAATGCCTTTCCTTTTGACTTGTGTCCCGTGTTTTCTCCACAGTGTTTCCCCATTTAACTCTCGGTGGTGTAAAGAGTGAGGCGTAATGTCATCTCATCAAGGGGCATAAAGCCCCATTAGCCACGTATACCGTAAGACTTCGTACATTATACAAGTTCATCCCACAAACTCACAACGACGCCAAATTTATGAGGAGAACATGACAGGACTGGCAAAGATTTTTTTCAACAGCGTTGTCCTCAGTTGTATTAGTTGGTATTAGTTTGAGCGTATTTAACAGCAAAAGAAAAGGACAAAATTAGAGTATCTAAAACCATTCTGTTATGGTGTTAGAATAATTAATAAAAGCCATTCAAAAATAAATGTAAGTTAAATATAAAAACACACACACACACCAAACGACTCTTTCATATTTACCTGGATAAAAAACTGTAGTTCTTCGGACGGTATAGTTCGCCGACGGAATCCTAAGAACGCAGTCGAACGTCGTTGGATCTTTCAACTCTTCATTGGAGAGTGTCATAACGGCCGATATATTGTAGGCCCCATCTTTCGTAGACGTTTCGATTCCTATCTGACGTGTTTCTTCCCTGCAAAAAATATATATGATGTAACCAACTGGATAGGCATACTGGAAACTGAAACTGGCTCTCTACAGCTGAAGAACAAAAGTTTACAAGATATTTCGTCAGTCATCTGACAAATTACATTATTTAATTACCCAATATTTTTTGTTTTTTACTTTTCTTGACATTCTTTGTTTTACTTGATTGAAACAGTTACACGAGTTTTAGTCTAGCCTACTCAGTCTGGTTGTAAACAACTATTAGTTTCTTTGCGATTTAATCACAAGGTAAGTATTTATTTTAATATGTTAAAAAAAATGTTTTTGATATGTTGTATTGCAGACTTTTATGTCAATCATTGCATTGTGTTTTATAAAAATGGGACAAACCATACATGAAACGTTTAGTTTTACATTTACATTACACTTTATTAATGAGTTGTTACCAATCAATTTAATTGCGTTACTTAAGATATATCGCCGTAAATCAAAATATTAACAAATTCAATTTAGTAAAGAGATAATTACAGTTACAATTTAGAGTATAGTTGTACGACTATTATTTTCTTACTTTATGTGACTCATGTGGCGTGTTTTGCAGTGTGATAAAATGTTAATATGCTCAACACGCTATTTTTATAATTCCATTAAACAGTATAGTTTATGCTGTTAGTGAAGAATAAAACATTATGAAAACAAGTGCAAGATCGTTTAAAGTGAATTTTTTTTCTACATACAAAAGTTTTAAATATATGGTTTATATTGCGCTTTAAAATAGATATTTTACATATTATTAACAGTAGACTAGCTAATAATAATAGTCTTTATAACTCGTTTCGTTATATATATATATATATTTACTGTTAGACTCAATTATTCTAGTAATTATTATTACCACACCTCATTAGGCAAAAAACGTCTTTATTTGGGAGAGCACATGGTAGATAAGAGTTCCGTTGTACAATTAGCAAATTTTTTTACAATATGAATTTTCATAGCAAATAAAAAATAAGCATTTGTGAGCTGAATTAGGCCGGTGAAATTTGTTGTCCGATTTCGTGTTGTTCCACCTAAAAATACGAAACTCGTTTGGATTTTTCCCAAATTACTACGTTCTGACAAACATTATATTTAATGATCTATTGATCAAATTACTTCTTTCAATTACTTAATTTTTATATGTAAGGTATTGGTTGAAATGATCAAGCCAGTGCACGAGCAAGATTCGAACCCACGACCTTCGACTAAATGCGCCGCTGCTCTACCACTTGAGATATCGTGACTTCGATCCACTCGGACACCAACTCCCCATCTCAACCTACAACCTTTCGAATTTTCCCTTTTTCTATCATTTTTCAAATATCGTGTAATCAGGATTCGATTCTTTGTGACATATGATGTGGCTAGCTCAAGTGATTATTGCAGCCGCGTATTAAGCCCAAGGTCGTGAGTTCGAATCCCGCTCGTGACACTTTTTCATTTCAACCAAAACCATACATAACAACATTAAGTCCTGACAATCGTTGAACGCTGAAAGTTGATTCTTCCACTTTCCATCTTTGTCATCAATTTCCATCAATTGTATGTTATTATAAGCCTGAAAAAGTTGATCCAATCTACAAAAACACACCTTTTATTTTATATATCCTCTTTTAATTTATTTACGGCGTGAACGTGCATGCTATTACGTGGAATTTTATATATGCGCGTGTAAAATTTCTAGCAGATCGACAGAATCGTTTAAAACATCATTATTTATGGATTTTGGGGGGAAATCGATGTTTGGAAGGCGAAATTTTGAAGAAAAACGTATTTTTATATTTTTGAAAAAATTTGTACCCACTGGGTGGCTGTAAATTGTTTATTCTGTAAATATAAATTGGTTGAATTTGCACTGTGTCACACACTAAAACGCGTTTCGACTTTGCGCCATCTTCAATGGGAAACCTTGTCGCGCCTGACCAATAAAATTCAATCAGTATTGTATGCATTACAATAAATTATGTGTAATTTTTAAATATATTAAAAAAACTTTACAACGTTTACTACCATCAACCATCATTTTACAATAAATTTTATTTATAATCTATCTAGAATTTATTATATTTACAAATCAAACGTTTGTAATGTGTATCCGCACATATTTAAAGCAGAAAAATTTATGACCAAGTTCTGAAAGTTGTAAAACGTGATGACGTAAATTAATCCCTGTTACGACACGGTTTTAGTTCAGTTGCAAAAAGGCGGCATTTTCTACTGGGTTTAAAAAAAGAGTTGAGGATAGTAGCAAGTTAAGCAACGAGATGGGAAAGTGTATACTCATTTAGGGGTGACCTCGACAGCAATTTGTCCGGTGGGCGTGGAGTCGCATTTACTTTATTTTTGTGTTAGCCCTAGGCGTTATCTATTGTCCCACAAATAACAGGAGCGGGTGTGTCGTGGACTTAATCAAGAGGCGGTGTGAGGCACCTGATGAATGCCGGACCCGCCATCTTGGTAAGGACCCTCACTTTATATTTGGTGCTAAATTCTTGAAGGAGGGCAGCCGCCCCCATCGCCACCACCCTTCGCCGCCTATACTCTAAAGTTAATCCCATGCCTCTAACTCACCCGCCCTTCCCGCAGCTTGTTTACACTAACTCCGCACCGACCCTTTACTCACTATTTACCACACACTTTATTTAAAAGTGAATGAAACTGAACCCAAATATATCAGGAGAAGGATTTGATTGTTAAGTTCACATTCATATCTTTAGTTAATGTATTATTCATCAGACGAAAAAAATCTTTTCGTACCTCAACTTTAGAATACTTAATAGGTATATTTCACTTTAATTCAATAACTGTTAAAAATTGAAAACAGTAGGTTGAAAAAGAATAAAAATAATAAATATGATAGTTGTGTTTACCATCTCTTTCATTTATATCAACCAATAAATGTTTAAATATATCTGTATTTTTACACAAGTCTATTTCTTTACATTTTCTATGTACCTCTCTTCCTCGAACTTTTCTTCTATGTCCTTTGACCTTTTTATATCTAATTTCTCTTGCACTTACACCCTTACTCTTTTACTTTCTATACCTCCTGCCCTTGACAAATTCCTCTCTTTCTCTCCTTTAACTTTCTCGCTCTTTCCTTCTGCACTTCTCTCTCTCATTCTTTTCATATTATCAATCATGTTTGTCAGCCTATCCTGGGAGGTTACCAGTATATACAAAACGCTAACACACATGTGTGGTGTTTAGTAACCGTTAGTTGGCAACGTGGCTCTATCAACTCGACAAACAATAATCACTTTTATCCCTGAAGATGATCTCAATAAAAATCAAAACGTTGGCACGATAAAGAACACGTCACACTAGCCCGCATCTCACGATCTCCAAATAATCACTAACATACATATTGTAATCCGTTACAATGATTGGGTAAATAAATGTTGGTTTTGAACATTTGTTTTATTTTCGCAGGTGCTTGTCATGTAATCAAAGCAAAATCCTCAAATCCAATTTAAGTTAATAATAATAAGTACTTTTAACTGTTATCTTTTATCCAAATTATTTAAACTGAATTCCATAAGAGTGAGGACCTGCGAACATAAATATGTCCACACTAGATTTTTGTCAAATTTATTTGTACGAATTAAAACTTGGGCGAAGCGCGGCCAAAACCGCGCGTAACACCAATTCAGTTTGAAGGGAGAAGATTCCGTCTTGGAGATTTCGATCTCGACTTTCCGTTGAAAACTACGACCAATTCATAACGTTGATTGAAGAAAATTCACGTAAGACAATACGGGAACTTGCGGAAGAGCTTAGTGTTGACTATTCAACCGATGTTCGCCATTGGTAAATTAAAGAAGCTCGACAAGTTGGTAGCAGCACGAATTAACTGAAGCCTAAGGAAATCGAAGCTTTGAAATTTGCACGTCTCTTCTGTTGCGCCACCAAAATGATTCATTTCTCGATCAAATCGTGCGACGAGAAATGAATGTTGTACGATAACAGGAAACGTTCAGACAGGAAGGTGGTTGGACAAGGATGAAACGCCAAAACACTTCCTGAAACCAAATCTGCACCCAAAAATGTTATGGAGGCTTTTTGGTGGTTAATGTTGGGGTTGTTCACTTTAATTTTCATAATTATGATGAAACTATCACCACAGAGGCATATTGCCAAGAAACTGACATAATGCAAGTGAAACTGCAACGTCTTTGTCCAGCATTTGTACGCCTTAAGGGGCCGATTCTCATCTCAACGCTAGGTCCCGACTTCTCGCCCACAGAATTCCACTTTTTAGGCACTTCTTAAGGAATAAAACATTTAGAGAACACGATTCTGCCCAAAACGCCTTCCAATACTTTATTGTAAGTGGAAATAAAGATTTTTATATAAGCGAAATAAAAGCTCTTATTACACATTGGCAGAAATATATATATATTGTGATGGATGTTTCGAATACATATTCTTTATTTTATAAAAATTATAAGTAGATTAGTTTCCTTTTCCAAAACCTGCACTATTTTTACGCAAGCCCAATAGATCTATATCAACCAATATGTGTTTAAATATGCATCTACATTTTTATGCAAATCTAGTTGAGAATTAAAATCTCAAAGGCTTGCAAGGCTCACTGTTATGTTAAACCATCACGACTCACCAGCGTTGCACTACTGTGTGACGCCGTAAAATCATACAGAGCCATTGTAAAATTCTCAAATTTTCCCTTTTTCCCGTATTTTAAATATGAAAATGCATTATTTATCCAAAAGGTTTTCTCGTTATATCTGTTTGTTACCGCTCTCTTTTTTTCTACTCTCACTCTACTCCTTCTGTCTTTTTTATGTCCTTCAGATTTGTTCTCTCTTCCTCTCACTCTCTCTCTCACTCTCTCTCCCTCGCTCTATCTCTCTCTCTCTCTCTCTCTCTCTCTCTCTCTCTTTCTCACACAAACACACACACACACACACACACACACACACACACACACACAAACACCCACTTTTTCTATCTCACTTCTTTTTA